GAGGGAAGTTGGGAATTGTGGGGATTTGGAAATTGTGGGAATTTTAGGAATTGGGGGAGTTGGGGGAATTTGGGAATTGTGAGTTTTGGGGAATTTGGGTGATTGTGGGGATTTGGGGATTGGGGAAATTTGGGAATTGTGGGGTCTGTAGGAATTGTGAGATTGGGGAGATAGTGGGAATTGTGGGAATGGGAAGAACTGGGAGAATTTGGGGAATGTGGGAATTGGAGGAATTGTGGGAAAAATCCCCAGTTTTCCGCTTCCAACAAGATTTGGGCTTTAAACAGAATTTAAACAGAATTTTTAGCACTAGCTGGTGTTTAAAACTACTTTTTCCCACTGGGAATTGATGGTGGGAAGTTTTTTTTGGATTTTGACACGATGAACACTTGAACTACAATCAATTAATCAGTTATTAATTATTATTAATGAAGCTCCAATCCCTTTTTTCCCCTCCCTAAAGGAAGCGATTTTCATTGCTCTCATCAAGGAGTCTGATCCCAAGGTGAGTTTTTCCTCATTATCCCAAGTTTTTCTCCTCATTGTCCCAAATTTTTTCCTCATTATCCCAATTTTCTTTGGAATTTCATTAACTGGGAGCTGGGAATGCTCATTCCTGAACATTTCAGGTTGGGATAAACCCCACTTTATCCCTGGAGTGGGATTTTTTGGGACTTCGGGGATCCCCCGGGCCCTGTGATCCATTCAGAATTCCAGGATTAATTCCAAGATTCTCCTCAGGTGCCTCGGAGGTTTTCTCCCTAAAAAAAGTGTGGAAAAGATCAAAATTTATCTCAATTCCAGTTCAAAATTCCAGTCTTTTATAGATGGAGAGAAGTGTTTTTCCCTTCCCCCCCTTTTTTCACTTCCTTTCTCCCCTAATTTCCTTTTTCCCCATATTTCCCCCCTTTTTTCCCTCCTTTTCCTCCTTCCTTCTCTCTTTCCCATTTGTCCCTTTTTCCCTTTGTTTTCTCCTTTCTTTCCCCCCTTTTCCTCCTTTTTCTCTCATTTCCCCCCTCCCTTTTCCCCATTTTTTCCCTTTTTCCCCCTTTCCCTATTCTTCCCCATTTTTCCATTCCCTTTTTTCCTTTTTTTTCCTTCCTTTCCCCCCTTTGTCCATGTTCCCCTTCTTTCCCCTTTTCTCCCTTTTTTTTCTCCCCTTCCTTTTTTGCCTTTTCCTTGTTTTTCCCTTCCCTTTTAACCTCTTCCCCCCCCTTTTTTCCTTCCCCCTTTTCCCCCTTGTTTCCTCCTTCCTTTTTCCCCTCTTTCCCCCTTTTGTTCCATTCCCCCTTTTTCCTCTTTTCTCCTTCCTTTTTCCCCTCTTTCCCCCTTTTGTTCCATTCCCCCTTTTTCCCTTTCTTTTCTCCTTCCTTTCTCCCTTCTTTCAACTTTTCCCCCTTCCCTTCCCCTCTTTTCCCCCTTCACTTTGTTCTCTCTTTTTCCTTCTTCCCTCCTTTGTTCCATATTCTCCTTTTCTCCTTTTTTCCCCTTCTTCCCCCTTTTATCTCCTTCCTTTTTCCCTCTTTCCCTCCCTTTTACCCCTCTTCCCCCTTTTTTCTGCTTCCCTTTTTCCCCCTTTTTCCCTTCCCCCCTTCCCTTTTCCTCATTTCTCCTTTATTTCCCCCTTTTTCCCCTCTTTCTCTCCTTTGTTCCTTTTTTCCCTTCCCCCTTTTTCCCCTTTTTTCTCCTTCCTTTTTCCCTTCTTTCCCCTTTTTCCCCTTCCCATTTCCTCTTCCCCCTTATTTCCCATTTTTTCCTTTTTTCCCTCTTTCACTCCTTTTTTCCATTTCCCCCTCTTTTCCCTTTCCTCCTTCCCCCTTTTTTCTCTTTCCTTTTTCCCTTATTTCCCCTTTTTCCTTTTCCTCTTTTCCCCCTTATTTTCCATTTTTTCCTTCTCTCCCTCTTTCCTCATTTTGTTCCATTTCCCCTTCTTCTCCTTTTTTCTCCTTCCTTTTTTCCCTTTTCCCCTTCCCCTCTTTTCCCCCCTTCATTTTGTTCCCTGTTTTTCCCCCTTTGCCCCCTTTTTGCCCCACTTTGTTCCGTTTTCTCCTTTACTCCCTTCCCCCCTTTTTCCACTTCTTCCCCTTTTTTTCTCCTTCCTTTTTTCCCCCTTTCCCTCCCTTTTACCCCTCTTCCCCCTTTTTTCTGCTTCCCTTTCCCTTTTTCCCCCTTCCCTTTTCCTCTTTGCCTCCTTATTTCCCTTTGCCTTTTTCTCTCCTTTCCCCCCTTCTTTTCTCCTTTCTTTTTTCCCTTTCCCCTTTTCCCATTCCCTTTTCCTCTTTCCCCCTTATTTCCCATTTTTTCCTTTTTCCCCCTCTTTCACTCCTTTTTTCCATTTCTCCCTCTTTTCCCTTTCCTCCTTCCCCTTTTTTTTCTCTTTCCTTTTTCCCTTCTTTCCCCTTTTTCCTTTTCCTCTTTTCCCCTATATTTCCCATTTTTTCCTTTTTTCCCCTCTTTCCCCCTTCGTTCCATTTCCCCCTTTTCTCCCTTTCCCCATTTTTTCTCCTTCCCTTTTCCCTTCTTTCCCCTTTTCCCCCTTCCCTTTTCCTCCTTTCCCCCTTCATTTCATTCCCTCTTTTCCCCCCTTCCCCCCCTTTGTTCCTTTTCTCCCTTTCCCCCTTTTTCCCCTTTTTCTCCTTTTCCCCCTTCCCTTTTCCCCCTTTCCCCCGCTTTGTTCCTTTTCTCCCTTTCCCCCTTTTTCCCCTTTTTCTCCTTTTCCCCCTTCCCTTTTCCCCCTTTCCCCCGCTTTGTTCCTTTTCTCCCTTTCCCCCTTTTTCCCCTTTTTCTCCTTCCCTTTTCCCTTCTTTCCCCTTTCCCCCCTTCCCTTTTCTCCCTCTTTCCCCCTTTTCTCCCTTTCCCCCTTTTCTCCCTTTCCCCCTTTTCTCCCTTTTTTCTCCTTCCATTTTCCCTTCTTTCCCCTTTTCCCCCTTCCCTTTTCCTCCTTTCCCCCTTCAATTTATTCCCTCTCTTCCCCCCCTCCCCCCCCTTGTTCCCTTTCTCCCTTTCCCCCTTTTTTCTCCTTCAGGAAGCATACAGAGGAATTAATCCCTACCTGAGAACCATTTGTTGTTGCGGCAATAAAACCCCTTATATCAGCATGAGTCTTCCATACTTTCATAATAGAGCTCTTTTTCTTCCCTCTAAGCTTCATGTAATTACATATTCAGAAAAATTCAGTGCAGCAGACTTCAGATTTACCTATCACATGTCTTACAGACCTCATTAGGGGAAAAAAGGAATTGTGTAAGAAAACCAATTCATGTTATGCCTTCAAACACATTAAATTTGCAGATGAAAGTTAGAATTTTGTATTTCTCTCTGGCATATAATTCATTGTGTCTATATAAGCATAAGTGTAAGTATATGTATGACTGAGTGTTATGGATGCTTCTAATCTGGTAACAAACATTAAAGCTAGCAGACTTTTCTATTTTCTTCTATTTACTTCCTCATTTCAAAGAATGCCTCCTTTCCCCCTTTTCTTCATTTTTTCTCCATTTTTTCTCCTTCCATTTTCCCTTCTTTCCCCTTTTCCCCCTTCCCTTTTCCTCCTTTCCCCCTTCATTTTGTTCCCTCTTTTCCCCCCTTTGTTCCTTTTCCCCCTTTCCCCCTTTTTCCCTCCTTCCTTCCCCCTTTCCCCCGTTAACCATCCCGGGGTCTCCCCGCAGGTGGACGCTGCCTGTCTCCGCTCTCACCTGGTGCACCTGGGGAACCTCCCTGCCGAGGGTTTCCGGGAGCTGGAGCTGGTGTGCGCGGGGCTGCGCTTCGGCAAGGTGGAGCACTACGCCGTGCTCAGCAACCGCCACCGGGTACGGCCCCGGCGCGGGGCATCGGGGCTGGAAGGGAAGACGTGGGGGACCTTGGGAACTTTTGGGTTTTTGGGGATTTTTTTGGAATTTTTTCAGAGTTTTTTGGGGGTTTTGGAGGGGTTTATTTTAAATTTTTGGTGGATTTTTCTCTTTATTCGCATTTTTTCATTTTCTCCCTTCCTTTCTCCATCCTTTTCATTTTTCCCCTTTTTGCTCCTTTTTCCTCTTTCTCACTTTAATCCCCATTTTCCCCTTCCCTTTTTCCCCTTTCCCCCTTTCCCTGTTTCCTTCTTTTCCCCTTCTTTTCCCTTTTCCCCATTTCCTTCTTTTCCCCTTTCCCTGTTTCCTTCTTTTCCCTTTTCCCCGTTTCCTTTTCTCCTTCTTTTCCCCCCTTTTCTACCCTTTCCTCTCTTTGCCCCTTTTCCTTTGGGATTTTTGGGGCATTTTTTGGGAATCTTTTTGGAATTTTTGGAAGATTTTTGGTGCATTTATTTGGGAATTTTGGGGGGATTATTTCAGAATTATTTTTTCATTTTGGGGGATTTCTGTGGAAATTTTGGGTTTGTTTTTTTGAGGGTTTTTTTTTGTGTGGATTTTTTGGGATTTCTTGCAATTTTTTTTGGGAATTTCCTGAGGATTTTTGACAGAGGGGTTTCAGGAATTGAAGCTGGTCTGTGCTGGGCTACGCCGTGCTCAGCAGCTGCCATGGGGTATGGCCCCAGGGCCTGGGGAAAAATGAGGTTTTTGGGGGAGAAATTGGGGTTTGCACAGAAAAAAACCTGGGGATTTTTGAGGGATATTTTTTTTAAATTTAAGAGATTTTTTGCGGGGACTCTTCTGAATTGTGGGAGATTTTTTTGGGGAAATTTTGTGGATTTTTTTTTTTCAGAATTTTTGAGGGACCTTTTGGGAAGTTTGGATGATTAGTTTGGGCATTTTTTGAATTTTTGGGGAACGTTTTTTTTTCATTTTGGGGGGATTATTGGTCTGGGATTTCCGTCAGGGATTGGAATTTTCTCCCCTCAGGGTTGGGATTTTCCCCCTCAGGGTTTGGAATTTCCTTCAGGGATGGAATTTCCCTCAGGGTTGGGATTTTTCCCTCAAGGTTGGGATTTTTCCATCAGAGTTTGGGATTTTTTTTCCTCAAGAATAGGATGTCCCTCAGGATCTTGATTTTTCCCTCAGGGTTGGGATGTTTGTCTCAGGGCTGGGATTTCCCTCAGGGATTTGGATTTTTGTTTTCCAGGCTGAAACCGGGAAAAGGGAAGTGAAGAGAGAAGATGGGAGCAAAGGAAGGTACAGCCTGCAAGGATTTTTGGGAATTTTATCCATTTCTTTTCCCTCTTGGAATGTTTATCCATGATTAAGGATTGCTGAGCCTCTCTCCAGCTGTGTCCTGCTGCTCCTCCTTCCCAATCCATTTTTGCAGAGCCACAATGTTTGTGATTCATTAAAAATCATGGCAAAACAGGGTGAAATCCCAATTTTTATTGGGAATTTTCTTTGGTTTTCTCTCCTGCTCAGGTCTTGGCTCCTTTTATTCCATCCTTAAGCTCTTCTCTCTATCCCTGCCTCTGGAATTCCTCTTTCCAACTGCTGAATTCCTGGAGATCTTTAGGAATTTTTGTTAAATATGGCTTCGATCCCTTTTTTTCTGTGATTCCAACTTGGGTTTCTGGATGAGTTTTATTGTTAAAACCTCAAAATTGTGTAAGGATCATCCTCAAATTTAAGGAATTCCATCATGGAAAAGCTCTGTATTCCCAGATCCCGATTTTTTCCTTGTCATTCCATGAAACTGCTGAATTTTGGGAGCATTAATTCCCAAATTAATGGGAAACTCTTCCTTACAGCCACTTTGTGATTCCAGACAGGTGGAATGAAAATTTAAATTTAGAATTAAAATTTAAAAGTTATTTTTCCATTAATCCCAGCTCCTGAAAAATTGGAAAATCGACATTTTCCCCTGCTCCACACATTTTCCACACAATTAATTTATTCCATTTCTTAGGGAGCAGAAAAGACTGGAATTATTGTTTTAATTGTTAATGATTAATTATTTATCTTTAATTAATTTATCTCAACTCATGGGCTCTGCCTTTCCCAGGCCGTGTTTTCCATGAATCCAGGGGGGACTTTTCCATGAATCCCAGGAGTTTTCCATGAATCCCAGTAGAAAACAAACTGAACACAGCCGGAAGTGTTGAATTGATGGGAAAATCCCTTTGGAGGATCCCAAATCCCGTTCTCCTGGACAATCCTGATTTTTCCAGGTTTTGGAGTAGAAATTCCCTGCTGGAATTCTGCTAGAATGGGTGCTCCAGGCATAGCCATCCCTAATTCCAGCACTTCCCAAGCTCATCCTGTGGGATTCTTTCCTTCAGGGAAGAGTCTCTGGAATTCCTTGGGAAGCTCCATCCTATGGCACCTTGGGCTGTGTTATCCCAGGGGATTCTCCATGGAAAACAGGGATTTTAAACCCAAACCAAAACCTGATCCAAAATCCAATCCCAAATCCAAACCTGCTCTCCCGGGATATGGGAGCTGCAGCCAGAGCAAAGCTCCTCTAATTCCCTTATCCAAGAGCTGCCTTTTGGTTGGATATTCCCAATTTTCCTTCTGTGGGATGGAAAATTTCCAAGGCCTGAGGTCTCCAAAATGTGAATTATTCACCTCAAGTTGTCGCCTTTTCCCACAGAATTCCCAATCCCATTTCCTCATGCTCCAGGTAAACTCCCACGGGTGGCATCCGGAGCTTTCTGAGACTTCTGGAATTCTCCCTCCACGGTTTGATTTTTGTTTCTTTTAAATGCTTTTAGCTCTGGCTTGAAAAAAATTCCAGAGGGATCAGGAACAGTGCAAAAACCAGCTGGAAATCCATCGGGAGAGGCCAGGAAAGGTCAAATTCCCACCCCAAATGTCCCAGAGGAGATTCCAGCAGGACAACTGGAGATTCCTGAGTCGCAGGCAGGAGGAGCAGCGAGGGAATCGCCCGCAGGGATGGACGTGGAGGGATTGGATCCTGGAATTGGAATTCCTGTGGATCCTGCAGGGAGCAAATCACCCGGAGCGAGGTCGGAGGAGAAACCGGCGCCGCTTTCCGGAGCGGGGACGGACAAAGCTCGGGATGAGCCAGAGCTGGAAATCCAAAAGGAGGATGAGGAACCCTCTGCTCCTGCCGTGGAACCTCTGGAATCATCCAGCAAGGTTATCCCAGCGGCCGGAGGAACACCAGGAGCCATCCCTGGAATGTCCCCGAGCTCGGAGGAGGCTCCCGTGGTGTCACCCGGTGTCACCCAGCCCAGCATGGAGCCGGCTGCTCTGGAGAAAATGCCCGTTCCCGAGGCTGGGAAAAGCAGCCATGAAACATCCACGGAGAGGAAAGCTGTCCCAAAAACTGTGGATGCTCCAGGGAAAAAATTGGATGTGGCTGGAGCAGAGAGAGAGGCGACAGCGGAGGAATCCGTGCTCAAAATCGGGGAAAATACGGGGAAAATATGGGGCAAGGCTGAGACAGAGACGGAGAAAACACCTGGAAAAATACCATCCAAGGGTGGGGAAAACTCTGGGAATGCTGTTGGTGAGATGCATGGGGGAAGTTCGGTTAAAATCCCACAAAATAAAGGGATGGGAGCTGCAAAATCCGACGAAAGCCGTGCGGCGGCTCCGGTAAATTCCGCTGCATCCCTGAAGGAATCTTGCATTGGAAAAACTTTTTTGAAGGCAGTGGTGTCCGTCCCGGACATCCTGAAGCAGAGAATTCCTGTCAGGATCACCGAGCCTTCCCTGGGAAGAACTGGGGAGCAGAAAATCCCCCCCAGAGTGGGGCTGGAGAAGAAAATCCCACCCAAAACCGTGGCTCAGCCGGGAGCTGGGAACAGCCAATGGAAAGGGAATGGAAATTCCGGAGTGGAAGCACAGGGAGATGGCGGGAAGGGCTCATCCCAGCAGGAAAAGGATTCCCAGCTGGAATCTCGGGCGAGTTCAAAGCAGAGCCAGCAGGGAGAGAGCGGAACAGCTGGCATGAAGGAAGATCCCAGTGGGAATCAGGTGAGGAGGGCAGGAATGCCCAGGTGTTCCCTGGGCTTCTTCCACTCTGGGTTTCTGGGATCATTCCTTTCCCTTTTCCATCAATCCTGGGGCCACCAGAGGAGCTTCTGGGCAACCTGTTCCTTTTAGCTGCACCATGAGGGTGGAACTGGTTGGAAAATCCTATGGAAGTTGTTTTGGAAGTGAATCCAAACTGAATTCCTTGGAGCTCCAAGTGGGAATAAACCCCGTGTCCTCTGGGGAGCTGGAATTTGCTTTTCCGAGCCTTGCACAGATGGAAAAAAGGCTCCTGAGCCAGGTGTCACCTGTTGGTGGAGCCATGGCGACATCCCAGAGCAGCTCCTTGATCCAAACAAAGCTGTGCTCGGTGAGGATTGGGATTTCCTGGGATTTCATGGAATTTTCTGTCCCATTTTGCAGGCTCCTGGTGGGGGCGGTGCCGCAGCTTGGAAAAGCGGCACCAGCAGCGCTGGAAAACAGAAGGAGGTGAGGAAAACTGTGGGATTTAAAGGCTGGAACATATGAAAAAGGGGATTTTGATGTTCCAGGGGGTGGGATTGGATGGGATTTAAGGTCTTTTCCAACCCAAACCATTCCAGGATTCCATGACATTCCTGCTCTCAGGAATCTTTCCCCTCTTCCCAAAATGCAGTCACCAAATTCCTGCACTTTTTCCGTCTGGTGTCTGTGGATCCCGTAGGCTCTGGGATGCTGGAATTCCTTTGGATCCGTTCCCTTTGGACCTCTTGGTCCCTATTTCCAGGCTCATGGAGCTGGAACTGCCAGGAAGCCTCAGCTGGGATCAGATCCCACAAATCCATCCCCAAATCCCAGTTTCCCAGCTTGTGTTAAAGATCCATGAAAATGTGAGGGTAGGATGGAATATTTTGGCAGAAAAAGTAACAAAAATTTAGAATTCTCAATGGAAGAAATTGGAAGCATCATTTGGGTGGGGCACCCGTTCCTTTGGACCCAGAACTTTGAATTGGCAGGAATTTTATCCGTTGAATTTTATCTGTTGAATTTCATCCACTGAATTTTATCCACTAAATTTTGTCCCTTTAATTTTATTCACTGAATTTTATCCATTGGCCTTTATCCATTGAATTTTATCCACTGAATTTTGTCCATTGACCCTTATCCACTGAATTTCATCCATTGAATTTTATCCATGGAATTTTATCCCCTATTGATCTGCTGCAATTTCTTTGCAAATTCTCCATTTTTCCAAAGGACTTTGGCTTCCTGAACTAAACCTGAGTTAATTTAAATTAATTACTCAGCACAATGCTGCGATTTAAGCCCTGACCACTTTTTTTTTTTTTCCCCCTACTCAAATTAAGTTTGGGGTTATTTTTTGGATCCAACGTGTGTGGATGTTCCCGCTGGAGATGACAGTTAAATATTCCATTCCCAGGAGGAAGAGCTCTTCCCGTTTAACCTGGACGAGTTCGTCACGGTGGACGAGGTGCTGGAGGAAGCCGAGTCTCCGGTGATGCCGCGGCGGAACCCCCCGAGGGGGAAGAGAAAAGAAGCCCCCAAAGCCAACCCTTCGGAGCCAGCGTCCAAGAAGAGGAAAGGGAAGAGTTGCGGAGCCGAAGGTGAGCTGTCCTTTGTCACCTTGGATGAGATCGGGGAGGAGGAGGACGCCCCGGTGCCGCTGCCGGGCGTCGACCCCCAGGGCCTGGTGGTGGTGGATGAGGTGGTGGAAGAGGAGGAGCTGTCGGAAGCGGTGAAGGATCCGCAGGCGCTGCTGACGCTGGATGAGATCTCGGAGCAGGAGGAGCCAGGCTCCCATGGGAATGGGCCCCGGGTGGAATTCGAGGAGCGGGATCTGAAGGCCGAGCCCTTGGTGACCGTGGATGAGATCGGGGAGGTGGAGGAGCTGCCCCTCAACGAGCCCACGGAGCTGCGCACCGCCGAGGAGGGAAAAACCAATCCCGGGGATTGCGCGGCATCCCAGGTGCCCGACGATCCCAACGCCTTGGTGACTGTGGATGAGATCCAGGAGGACAACGAGGACAATCCTCTGGTGACTCTGGATGAGGTTAATGAGGATGAGGATGATTTCCTGGCTGACTTCAATCACCTCAAAGAGGAACTAAACTTTGTTACAGTCGACGAAGTCGGCGATGAGGAAGAAGAAAACACTTTCCCAGGGAAGAACCCGCCCGAGGATGAAGATGACGAAGATATTGTTGCTGTTGCGGGACCAGAAGAAATGGGAATTTTAGGAGATACAAATCCAGAGGATGAAATGGCTGAAATCTCCAAGCCAAAAGGTGAGGAACATCAAGGCTGGCTTGGACAAGGCTTGGAGCCATCTGGGCTGGTGGAAGGTGTCCATGTCCTTTAGGTGCCTCCCAACCCAAACCATTCCATGGTTCCATTCTATCATTCCGTGATTCTGTTCCATGATTCCATTCCATCACTCCGTGATTCTGTTCCATGATGTCATGATTCCATCCCAACATGAATTTCTGTCTCCAGCAGCTCAGCTGGGATCAGAAGATGCAGAACCAAAGTCTCAGCAGAAGAAAGCGACTTTGCAAGGCGTCCCCAAGACGCAGAGCACTCCCAAAGGTAAATCCAAAGGAATCCCCCAAAATGCTCTGGGTTTTCCTGGCTGGAAGATTCTCTCCTGCCCATTTGAAAACTCCTCCTGTGCATCACAACCAGAATGAACACCAAAGTCAGGGCCTAGAATCCATGGTTTTTCTTGGCTCCTCCAAATCCATGTTTAACTAGTTGGTTAAACTCAGAAGCCTCTCATGGGAAATTTTTTGTGGAAATTTCCAAATCCAGGTAGAATTATTGATTACTAGTGGGGTGTCTCCTGAGGGTTCCAATCCTGCGGTGAGTTTTATTCCCAACATTCATTGTCTGGAAGGGAGGGAATTGCTGCCAGGACTGTGAAATGGGGGTGTAGGGATGTAGTGAATTCCATGAGGTCAGAAATTGTTCCAGCTTCCATGGGGTCAGACCTTCAAGAACTGCTCCAACATGAGTCACTTCCATGGAGTCTTTTCTTCAGGAGCTGCTCTAGTGTGGGTGCCTTTTTCCATGGGATCAATCCTTCAGGAACTGTTCCAACTTCTGTGGGGTCAGTCCTTCAGGAACTTCCTGAATTTCCATGGGGTCAGTCCTTCAGGAACTGCTCCCACTTCCATGGGGTCACTTCTTCACACTTCCAGTGTGGGTCAGTCTTCCATGGGATCAGTCAGTTCTTCAGGAACAGGCTGCTCCAACATGGGTCGTTTTTCCATGGGGTCAGTCTTTCAGGAATTATTCCAAGTTCCATGGGGTCAGTCCTCCAAGAGTTGTTCCAGCTTCTGTGGGCTCAGTTCTTCAGGAACTGGTCCAACTTCCCTGGGGTCAGTCCTGCAGGAGCTGCTCCAACATGAGTCACTTTTCCATGGAGTCAGTCCTTCAGGAATTGTTCCAACTTTCATGGGGTCAATCCTTCAGGAGCAGGCTGCTCCAACATAGATAACTTTTCCCTGGGATCAGTTCTTCAGGAAGTGCTCCAACTTCCATGGGGTCAGTCTTTCAGGAACTGCTCCAGTGTGGGCCACTCTTCCCTGGGATTAATCCTTCAGGAAGGTGGGTCACTTTTCCATGGGGTCATTCCTTCAGGAACTGCTCCAGCATGGCTCCCTTCTTCCATGGACTCAGTCCTTCAGGAGCTGCTCCAACTTCCATGGGATTGGTTGCTTTATTCCCAGAAAATTGTGTATATTGGAAATGGAGATGACCTGGGGATTGAAACGGGTCAGGGAGCAGCTTGGGTGAAAAACCAGATTTTTTGGAATGTTAAAGAACTGTAATTTCCCCCTGAGGAATCACAAATTCCCCAGATTTGGCTAAAGGAAGGTGAGGCTGGAATATTTCTGGGAGGTGTGTGTGGTGACTGTGGTGTATCCTCAGCTCTGGACATCCTGGTGCCAAAGGCCGGATTCTTCTGCCAGATCTGCTCCCTCTTCTACGCCGACGAACCCTCCATGATCAACCACTGCAGGACCCCCCTGCACCGGCAGAACATGGAGGTACCGCCCAGAAAAACGGGAATATCCCCCCAGATCCTTGGATTCAGGGGTGCCGAGGATTCCCTGGGGGTTCACGTTTGATGGGGTTTGGGAATGCAGCGGGAATATGGAATATTTTTATTCCATGCCCAGATTGTGGGGAATCCTGATCCCTGAGATTTGGCCACGTTCCCCTCAGGAGCTTCCCGTATTGAATTTGGGGGCTTTTATGGGACAAATCCCACTTCAGCCATGGGAGGAGCTGACTGAACCTGGCCCAGGTTTTAGGGGAAAATCCTGGAATGTCCCTGCAGCACCATCTCTTGTCCTTTCTCCACAGAAATTCATGGCCAAGCAGCAGGACAGCGGCGGGGAGGAGCCGAGCTCCAGGTGATGGAGCTTCCCAGGAATGACACTTCGGGGCCAGTCAGTTCTGTGTGTTTGGATTTCCTTTGTCATTTGGGGTCGGGAAGGAGCATCCATGGTGTAAAAAATCGGAGCTGGGAACAGACTAAACCCAAAGCAGGAGAGGGTTGGATTTGTGTCTCCGATCATCCGACGTGGGAGAGACTGTTCCAGGTGTCTCCAGGAAATAAATGTTCTTACTGTATAGTTACCCCTGGGCTTGAGTTTGGGGTCATTCCTTGGGGTTTGGTGACTCTGGATGACACTGGAGATCTAGGGGATCAATGGAGAGAGTCAAGGGAAGGGTCTGGAGCTCCAGGAGCAGCTGAGGGAGCTGGGAAAGGGGCTCAGCCTGGAGAAGAGGGGGATCGGGGGGGAACGTCTTGCTCTCCAAAACTCCCGGAATTCTTGGAGCCAGGAGTTGGGATCTGCTCCCAAAGAGAAGGGACATGAGGAGAGGGAACAGCCTCAGGTTGGATGTTGGGAAAATTCCTTCTTGGAAAGGGCTGTCCAGCCCTGGCAGGGGTGGAGTCCCCATCCCTGGGGGGATTTACCAACCCTGTGCATGTGGCACTTGGGGACACGGTCAGTGGTGGCCTGGGCAGTGCTGGACTCAGTGGTCTTTGAGGGTTTTTCCCAAACAATTCCATGATTCCATGAGTCCCTTGCCCTGCACCCAACCTGCCCCCAGCCCCCTCAGTTCCATGGTGACAGTCCAAACTTGGCAACATCCCTGGAGCACTCATCCCCACCTGGGGCTCATTAGCAGCCGACAGAGCCGCAGGAATTCAGGAATTCCTTTAATTCCTTTGTCTGTGGCCGGGGCTTGGGGCACCCCCGGCCTTTTTGGGGAGCACATGGGAACCATTTCTCCCCGTGGACTTCAGCCAGGTGAGTCAGGGAAACTCGGATTAAATCCCTGGGAATGCTGAACTTCTCTGAGGTGGGATCAGTGCCAGGGTCCAGAGGGTGACCATGGGTGTGGGAAAGGCCCTGGAGTCAGGATGGGCAGGGCTGGAGGGCGCTGACCCTGGCACTGATGGTGTGGGCGGGGATGTGCCCCCTGCTCTGTTGGCTGGCCCTGGGCTCAGCTCCTGGTCAAGAAAGTCTTTCCCACTGGGACATCTCTTCATTGATGAAGTCTTCCCATTGGGACAGAGATTTGTGTCCCTTGACATTCCCATGACACTGCTCTGGATTGTCCCCTTGGCACGGGTCTTGGCCAGTGAATTCTTCCATTTGGGACATCTCGTGGTTGACGGATTCGTCCATTTGGGGCATCTTGTGGTTAATGGATTCTTCCATTTGGGACATCTCCTGGTGGATCAAGTCCTCCCATTGGGACAGCGTTTTGTATCCGTTGACTTTCCCTTCATGCCATTCTTGGTCTCTCTTGGCTTTTCCTTGGTATGGGTCTTGGTTGATGGATTCTTCCTTTTGGGATGTCTCGTGGTTGATGAATCCTTCCATTTGGGACAGCTCCTGGTTGATGAATCCTTCCATTTGGGATGTCTCATGATTGATGAATCCTTCCATTTGGGATGTCTCGTGGTTGATGAATCCTTCCATTTGGGATGTCTCGTGGTTGACAGATTCATTCATTTGGGACATCTGGTGGATTAAGTTTTCCCATTGGCACATTGTTTTGTATCCCTTGGCATCCCCTTGGCACCGTTCTTGGTGTCTCTTGGCTTTTCCTTGGCACAGCTCTTGGTTGACGAAGTTTTCCATGTGGGACATCACTTGGTTGAAGAGTTCTTCCATTTGGGACATCTCTTGGTTGATTAGATCTTCCCATTGGGACACACTTTTGTATCCATTGGCTTCCCCTTGGCACTGCTCTTGGGATCCATTGGCTTCCCCCTGGCACCGTTCTTGGGATCCGTTGCCTTGCCCTTGGCACCGCTCTTGGCTGGTGAATTCTTCCCATTGGGACAGATCCTCGCATCCGTTGCCTTGCCCTTGGCACAGTTCCTGGTCTCCCCTGGCTTTCTCCTGGCACAGCTCTTGGTCGATGAATTCTTCCATGTGGGACATCTCTTGAGTGATGAAGTCCAACCATTGGGACAGATCTCTGTATCCATGGGCTGTGCCGTGCCTCATCCCTTGGGATCTCTCTGCGTGCCCTCGGGATCCCTGTGGATCTCTGCTGTGTCCCCCCTGGCACAGCCCTTGGGGACCGCAGAATTCCCACTCTTCCTGCTCCATGGCCGACATCCCCTGTCCTTCCTGGGACTGGAGCCTCCACAGTCCCTGGACTGCCTGGGAGTTGGGATTTGGCTTCTCCAGAGGGATCCAGGAGCTGCTGCTCCTGGGAAAGGACCTGAACCCTTTGGGATCACACTGGGATCGGGGCATGGCACAGCTCCGGTGTCACAACAGGACATCCCAGCAACCACGGGGCCCTCTGGAACCTTCTGGAACCTTCTGGAGCTGCAGCCCCAGCCGCACACAACACCAGGGGTGTGCAGGGGGTTGACGGATTCGTCCATTTGGGGCATCTTGTGGTTAATGGATTCTTCCATTTGGGACATCTCCTGGTGGATCAAGTCCTCCCATTGGGACAGCGTTTTGTATCCGTTGACTTTCCCTTCATGCCATTCTTGGTCTCTCTTGGCTTTTCCTTGGTATGGGTCTTGGTTGATGGATTCTTCCTTTTGGGATGTCTCGTGGTTGATGAATCCTTCCATTTGGGACAGCTCCTGGTTGATGAATCCTTCCATTTGGGATGTCTCGTGGTTGATGAATCCTTCCATTTGGGATGTCTCGTGGTTGACAGATTCATTCATTTGGGACATCTGGTGGATTAAGTTTTCCCATTGGCACATTGTTTTGTATCCCTTGGCATCCCCTTGGCACCGTTCTTGGTGTCTCTTGGCTTTTCCTTGGCACAGCTCTTGGTTGACGAAGTTTTCCATGTGGGACATCACTTGGTTGAAGAGTTCTTCCATTTGGGACATCTCTTGGTTGATTAGATCTTCCCATTGGGACACACTTTTGTATCCATTGGCTTCCCCTTGGCACTGCTCTTGGGATCCATTGGCTTCCCCCTGGCACCGTTCTTGGGATCCGTTGCCTTGCCCTTGGCACCGCTCTTGGCTGGTGAATTCTTCCCATTGGGACAGATCCTCGCATCCGTTGCCTTGCCCTTGGCACAGTTCCTGGTCTCCCCTGGCTTTCTCCTGGCACAGCTCTTGGTCGATGAATTCTTCCATGTGGGACATCTCTTGGGTGATGAAGTCCAACCATTGGGACAGATCTCTGTATCCATGGGCTGTGCCCTGCCTCATCCCTTGGGATCTCTCTGCGTGCCCTCGGGATCCCTGTGGATCTCTGCTGTGTCCCCCCTGGCACAGCCCTTGGGGACCGCAGAATTCCCACTCTTCCTGCTCCATGGCCGACATCCCCTGTCCTTCCTGGGACTGGAGCCTCCACAGTCCCTGGACTGCCTGGGAGTTGGGATTTGGCTTCTCCAGAGGGATCCAGGAGCTGCTGCTCCTGGGAAAGGACCTGAACCCTTTGGGATCACACTGGGATCGGGGCATGGCACAGCTCCGGTGTCACAACAGGACATCCCAGCAACCACGGGGCCCTCTGGAACCTTCTGGAACCTTCTGGAGCTGCAGCCCCAGCCGCACACAACACCAGGGGTGTGCAGGGGGGGCTGTCCCCCACAGATGGCACGGGTGACACTGGAAGGACACTGGGGGCACCCAGATTCACCTGGAGCAGTGGCACCGTGAGAACGCGAGGAGCTTCAGCCAGGCCGGGTGAGATCCCAGACTGGAGCACGGGCTGGGAGCTCCTGGGGAATCTCCCTGCAGGAAGGACTCAGGGACACGGGGACAGCGACACACGACACAGGACTGTCCCAGCAGTGCGCGGTGGCTCTGACCCCGCTCCGCCTGTGGGGTGCGGGGAGCCCGAGCAGCTTCCAGGCACGATTCCTGCCGGGAAAAGCCACGGCGCCTTTAAGGCATCTCCAAGCGGGATCTGGCAGCCGCGGGCGCTGCACCAGGAAATTCCTGACATCCCGGGAAGTGCTGAGCCAGCGCGGATCGGGGCCGAGTGCGCCTCGGAGCCGGGAACGGCGCCAGGAGCGGGGCCGGGAATTCTGCAAACCTCGAAAGAGCCGTCACGCGGGGCTGGGGCACGGCCGCCCCTCCTGGGCCCGCGACAGAGCCGCGAGAGAAGGCAGGAGCTGCCTCTGGAGCCCGGGACAAAACCCGTCCCAGCATCCAGCCCTTGGAATCGGGCAGGGAATGCTCCGGCCCCGGTGCCAGCCCCGCTGCCCCCCGCTCCCCTGGGCTGGCGAAGGAGCATTCCCGGGTGATGTGGATCCAGAGGATCCCGGAGCGGTGCACAGAGCCAGAGGCGTCTGTCCCACTCCCTCCTCAGCCCGGCAGGGCTCTGGGACACCCCCAGGGACAGGACGGGGATGAGGACAAGGGACAGGGATGGCACCGGCGGCAGCTGCGCCGCCCTGTGCCCGCTCCGCGCCCGCGGGAAATCCCAATAAAAGAAGGGAAAGTCAGGCCAAGAAAGTTCTTTCGGGGCGGAAAAAGAGTGGGGGACAGGCAGGACCAAACCCCGGACCCGTACCCCGAGTCCCACCCGGGGCACCCCCGAGGGGTCGGGGCCGGGGACCGCCCCTCGCCGCCGGGTTCGGCCCCGCTCCGCCCGCACCGGCGTCTCCGGGACCTCCCGGGTCCCCGGGCTCGGCCGGCTACGCCGCCGCTGCGGCGGGAGGAGCCCCCGCGGACCCCCGGGCCACTCCCCGACGTGGTGGTGGGACAGTGGGGACACTGCGGGGGGCTGGGGACAGCGGGGATACAGGGAGGGGACAGTGGGACATGGTGATGGGACAGCGGGGACACGGTGGGGACACGGTAGGGACGTCGGTCAAGGCCCGCCGGTGAGCGGGCGGGAGCCGGTGTCCCCCGTTCGAGGGGTCGCCGGCCCCGCGGCACCGGGGCGGGCACGGCCAGCGGGACCCCCAAACCGAGCGGGGTGACCCCAACGAAGAGCACCGCCAGCGGGGTGTCCCCCAGAAAGGGCACCACGACGGGACCCCCCAAAACCAGCGGGGTGTCCCCCACGAAGGCCATCGCCAGGGGACCCCCTAAAGGCAGCGAGACGCCCCCCTGGAAAGGCACCACGGCGGGACCCCCCAAACCCAGCGGGGTGCCCCCTCCGAAGGGCACCACGGCC